CGCCCGCCACCTCGCCCGGCTAGTTTTTTGTGTTTTTTAGTAGAGACGGGGTTTCACCGTGTTAGCCAGGATGGTCTCGATCTCCTGACCTCGTGATCCACCCGTCTCGGCCTCCCAACGTGCTGGGATTACAGGCTTGAGCCACCGCGCCCGGCCTTGGCTGCATTTTCATATCCACTCTCTCCATTTAGCTGCAAGACCTTTTAAGTCCTCTCTGTTACTACTAACTACCATTCATGGATGAAAGCAAGTGCCTAAATTCCTTACAGCTCTGCCTGTTAGGGGTGTCCTTCTCTCCACCCTCCATCAGTCCTTGTGCCAGATTTTCTTAAGCTCTGTCTTCAGGCTCTTTAAGGTCTGCTCTTATTTACATTTAATCTGTTAGACTTTTCTGTGCCAGTGACTTAAACATCAGCTCTAAAGTCAGAGTTGATCTTTCAGGTTATTAGAGCTGGCTTATAATAATGATGAAGGTGAATACAGTAATGGCAACAGCTAACACATGTACTGCCTACTGTGTACCAGACACTGTTCCAAGCACTTTACATATATTTATTTCAGTCATACAACCTTGTGAGGTAGGTACTACTTTCTCCTAAATGTAAGGGAAGAACCTAAGACACAGAGAATTAAGCAGTTTGCCTGTGGTCACACAGTACAGTAACTGATAGAGAAGAGACTATGTTCTTTTTAGACCTTGAGTTTTCCACAAGAACTATGTCTTCTTTGTCTCTGTATCCCCAGTTCAAAGCATAGTAGTGTTCCATCCATGTTGGAATTAGTGCAAAGTGCCAGGCCATCAAGTTAACATAGGGAATAGTGTCATTTTGGTTAAGAAAAAAAAAGACTGGGCCGGGCGCGGTGGCTCAAGCCTGTAATCCCAGCACTTTGGGAGGCCGAGACGGGCGGATCACGAGGTCAGGAGATCGAGACCATCCTGGCTAACACGGTGAAACCCCGTCTCTACTAAAAAATACAAAAAACTAGCCGGGCGAGGTGACGGACGCCTGTAGTCCCAGCTACTCGGGAGGCTGAGGCAGAAGAATGGCGTAAACCCGGGAGGCAGAGCTTACAGTGAGCTGAGATCCGGCCACTGCACTCCAGCCTGGGCGACAGAGCGAGACTCCGTCTCAAAAAAAAAAAAAAAAAGACTGAATGAAAAGCTCCAATTGCGAGTACAGTGTAGTGTATTGGAAGTATCTGGGGCCTGTTTTATTATGAGTCCTCATAGAACATTTAAAAAGAAAATTAAAAGATCTATTCTGACTTCTGAAATGTTTTTATTAACAAGCAGTGGGGATCTGACATTAAATAACAGTGCTCTTCCAGAAACAAAAGCAGTATTAACATTTGTCCTTTTTTCTTTTTCAATTGAAGTTGGTGCTGCTGGAGTTGCTGGTCTTTGATGCTGGGGGATTACGTTTCTGATAGTGACCGAAAGGATAATAACAAAACTTTCATTGTGCTCTAATTTAGACATTAGTTCAAATAAAACAAAATTAAACATGGCCCTATCTAGTGGATGTATACCATCTAAATGTCACACAGTAGCTTGTATACATGCCTCCTGTAAACAGTATGACCAGGAAAACATTGACTTTATCAGGCATTCCCTCACATGATTAATAACATTGTTAGAGCATCAGACCTTCCTCATTCCAGGGGATGAGTTTTTGTCATCCCTGGAAATCATCCAATATGTGACTATTTGTTTTTGACTTAAAAAGGGGTAATGAAATGGAAAGAAACTGAAATGGGAGTCAGGAGCTAACAAGTTCTGTGATCTTGGGCAGGGACCTTCATGCAAATTGTATCCTTACAGGTCGAACTTTGTTGACCCATGCCTCAGTTTCATCACCTGCAAAGTTAGGGCTTTGAACCAGATTATCTCTGAAGTTTCAACTCTCAAATTGCATGTTTTCCTTTGAGCTAAAGCCAATATTCTATTTGGAATTTTCACTTTATCATAAATAATTATTAGCTGTAGTGTATTACATAGTTAACCTGTGCTAAACATTTCATATATATTATTGCATTTTAATGCTAGCATAACTTGAAAGGTAGTTTTTTTTAATCACCATCTTTCAGATGAGGAAACTGAGGTATAGAGTGGTTAGATAATTTTTTGAAGGTCGTACAGCTATGTACTTTATTTCCCTTAAAATAATTACTATATTTTTGCCTTATTTGTGTACTTCTCAAATCACCTGCCAGTTTATACAAATATTTATTCTTGCTTTATATTGGCTGCTTCATAAGGGTTCATCTCATCTTCAGCTACTTAAGAATGAAGATTGTGTCTCATACTTTATATCTCTCACAGGGACATGAAACTGTACATGTTCAAAATTGAAGGTCTTTTAAAAATTAAAAAAAAAAAGCAAATGACTCCTTTCCTCCCTCAATCTTTCTAAGCTTACACTTTGTGAAATTTGTTTTGATTATTATATCACTCTCGGGCCAGGTGTGGTGGCTTACGCCTGTAATCCCAACACTTTGGGAGGCCGAGGCGGGTGGATCACGAGGTCAGGAGATCAAGACCACAGTGAAACCCTGTCTCTACTAAAAATACAAAAAATTAGCTGGGCACAGAGGTGGGCACCTGTAGTCCCAGCTACTGGGGAGGCTGAGGCAGGAGAATGATGTGAATCCGGAAAGCGGAGCTTGCAGTGAGCCGAGATTGCGCCACTGCACTCCAGCCTGGGCAACAGAGCGAGACTCCGTCTCAAAAAAAAAATGAAGATTTTGTCTTATTCTTTATATCTCTCACAGGGACATGAAACTTTGTACATTTTCAAAATTGAAGGCCTTTAAAAAAAAAAAAAAAAGGCAAATGACTCCTTTCCTCCCTCAATCTTTCTAAGCTTATACTTTCTGAAATTTGTTGTGATTATTATATCACTCTCCCCAGCCTCATTATTACTGAAATTCCTGATCTTTGTTTGATGTTACCAACACAATTTTTTTTTCTTTCGCCTTTCTCCCTAGATGTTGATGTCTTATGAGTTTGCCTTTTTTGAAGAGGCGGAGGTCTCACTGTGTCACCCAGGTTGGAGTACGGTAGCTATTTACAGGCACGATAATAGCTTGCCGTAGCCTTGAACTCTTAGGCTTTATTTCTTCTGATTATTAAGAAATACAACCTCCAGCCAAAAGCATACCAAATGAATCAGTAGTCTGATGGAAAAATAAAGAAATATTTTGCATCAAAAAATGAGATAGGCTGCACGTGGTGGCTCATGCCTGTAATCCCAACACTTTGGGAGGCTGAGGTGGCATATTGCTTGAGCCCAGGAGTTTGAGACCAGCCTGGTGAAACCCCGTCTCTACCAAAACAAAAAAACAAAAATTAGCCAAGTGTGGTGGCGTGTGCCTGTAGTCCCAGCTGCTTGTGGGCCTGAGAGGGGAGGACCATCTGAGACCTGGGAGGTCAAGACTGCAGTGAGCCATGATCACGCCACTGCACAGTCCAGCCTGGTGACAGGGTGCAACCCTATCTCAGAAAGAAAAAAAAAAATACGTACTTCAGTAGAATATTCAAACATTATTTTTGTTTGTTTGTTTTTTAGTTTTTTGGGGGTGTTTTTCTTTCTTTTTTTTCTTTTCTTTCTTTCTTTTCTTTCTTTTTTTGAGACAGGGTCTTGCTCTGTCGCCCAGGCTGGAGTGCAGTGGTGTGATCTCGGCTCACTGCAACCTCCACTGCATGGTTCAGGTGATTCTCCTGCCTCAGCCTCCTGAGTAGCTGGGATTACAGCATGTGCCACCATGCCTGGCTAATTTTTGTGTTTTTGGTAGAGATGGGGTTTCACCATGTTGGCTAGGCTGGTCTTGAACTCCTGACCTCAGGCAGTCCTCCCACCTCGGCCCCCCAAAGTGCTGGGATTATAGGCGTGAGCACCTGGCCTCAAACATTATTTAAACAGTAATTTTAAAATATTATTTATAATAATAACTATTATTTAAAAAGTAACTTATCCAGAGTAAAAATTCCTAGGAATCTTATCCCCCAGAGGTGATATTACTGATTACATTTTGATGAATAGCCTTACAAGCATTCTTCTATGCATGTATACACCTAAATAAATATAAGCACGTAATAGCATGTAAGTGGGAGCAAACGTGCTTTTTTTTTTTACTTAACATTACATTGTTGAAGGCCTTCCATGTTGGGGTAAATGTGTGTAGCATTTTCATTGCACTGATACACCATAATGTTTTTAATCCAGTCTGCTAACAGAGAACATTTAGATTGCCTCCAGTTTTTCACTATCAGAAGCATTGCCTCAGTGAACATACCTGTACACACATCTTGGGCACAGGGTGGGTTTCATGTGCCTGCATCTCATGTCTGGACTAAGGTAGCATTAGTAAGGTAGCACAGCAGATGCCCACAGTCACAGCCATTCTCACATAGCAGCATAAAGGTGCAGGAACCCGGGAACTCAGTGTGGGATATGTGGCAAATGTCTGCCTTCTCGGGCTTCAAACTTTGGGTTGTTCAGAAAACAGATACTTGTTAAACACAAAAATATAATAAGCTTGAACAATGCAAAGCATTGTTTTGTTAAAATCTCAAATTTTTCAGCTGAACAAATTGTCGTTTATGTGTTTGCTTTCGTTTGGTAGCAAAGTAGTGCTGTGCACAGTCTAAAGAAGATGACCTGTTTTTTTAAATGAAGATAGAACTCGAAAGGAAAATGGACTTATTCTAATAAAAAAAAGTTAACCATTTACTCTCCAAATATGCATTGAGTACCAATGATGTGCTAAGTAAATGTCCTGAATGCTTGAGCTCAAAGTCTAGCAGGTGAGAAATTAAAGTAATAAAATAAGTTTTAAACTAATTGAAGTCAAGGATGAGAGAACAGGAAAAGAAAATGTTTTCCTGTAAATACATATTTGCAAACATCTGGATTCTGCTCAGCCTAAGTTTTGTAGTTTCTTCTCCTTCTTTAGCCTTTCACTGTCAAGTGCATTGCTGTTAAAATTACAGGTCCTTGATATTTTTGTAGTTCATAAACATAATGATTGGGCTTTCACACTTGTTTGAGGTGTGCCTTCCTCAAACCTTGTTTATAATGTCAGCACATTACCTGTCTGATGTGGGAAGAAAAAATTACAGGTTCTTGTTTCCTGTGATTTGCTTTTCCATTTTTTCCCTTTCTCCCTAAATTGGTATCTCATTTGGTTACCTATCCCTCACTCGCTCTGTGACCAAGGCATCTCCTCTGGGCCTCAGTTTCTTCATCTGTGTAATGAAGGAGTTCAGATAACTGATTTTCTTTTATTTTGGTAAGGTCCAGCTCTGACATTCTTGAAATCTAAGATGGTACCAGATCTGTCTTCTCTGTTTCATCCCCAGTACCTAGGATAAATCTAGCCACACAGAAAGGCTTATTAAACTTTTGTTGACATTTATTTTAAATTTGGGGTCTGTGTGTCTACTCTAGTTTCTTGGATTTTTTTTCTTATTTTCATTCTGTAGCTACCTACTGTACATTTAAACTTTTATTTCTCAAGGACAGTTTGTTTCAGCCTTGAAAGAGCCTTCATTCAGTTCAGTTCAGGCATTTCTTGGCCAGGCACTGGACTAGCTACTGGGAGTGCAAAAATGAATTAGACACTGTCACTATACTTAAAAAGCTTCAGATGAGGTGAAGGACTCATAAGAAGATAACTCATAAAATGTAATATGTCCTCTGCTAGAGTTTGTGCCTGGGGTGCTATGAGAACGCAAAGGAGGGTCACTCTGGAATGCCTAGGAGCACAGAAAGCTTCTGGGAAGAAATTATGCTATAGCTAAGTCTAGAAAGACAGAGTTAGTCCTGTGAAAAATAGGGAAGAAGCATGCCTAGGGAAAGAACAAGGATAAAGGGAACAGAGTTACAGGAGATAGAAGGTTGGCAGGGGACTGGCCTTGGAAGGCTTTTTGTGCCTGTTTGTAATAGGGAACTACTAAAAGATTTCAGCAAGAAAATATCTTTTCATATTACATTTTTATATATGTCTTTTTATTTTAAAGCGATCTACTAATATGGGCCCTATTCGTGGTCATTAGGGGAACCAAGTGTTTTCTCTGGAAAGGTCATCTTTTATCTTCTAAGATCATCTTACTTAGTCTTTGGCGTTCTGCAGTTTCTTTATGATATATCTAGGTGTGGATTTCTTTTTATTTCTTCTGCTTTGGGTTCATTGGGCATCTTGAGTTTGTGAATTGGTGTCTTTCATTGTTAGGAGATTATCAGCCATTACCTCATCAAGTATTGCCTCAGTCACATTCACTCTGTCCTTTCTGGAACTGCAGTTTAAACTTACGGGGACTATACTAACATAGCGCTTCTCTTTTCCATCTTTGTCTTTGTATTGTAGTGTAGATAGTTCCTTCTGACTAGTCTTCTAATTTGGTAATTTTCTCTTCAGTCACATGTGTTCTTAAACTCTGTCCATTAGGTTAAGAAGAAACTGCAAAGCTTTTTATTCCTCCAAAGTAGGTTATGCCATTTTACACTCCCACCAACAGTGTGTGGGAATTCCAGCTGTTGACATTCCCAGTATTTTGTGTTGTTGTTCTTTCTTTTTTTTTTTTTTTTTTTGAGACAGAGTCTTGCTGTGTCGCCCAGGCTAGAGTGCAGTGGCCGGATCTCAGCTCACTGCAAGCTCTGCCTCCCGGGTTTATGCCATTCTCCTGCCTCAGCCTCTCGAGTAGCTGGGACTACAGGCGCCCGCCACCTCACCCAGCTAGTTTTTTGTATTTTTTAGTAGAGACGGGGTTTCACCGTGTTAGCCAGGATAGTCTCGATCTCCTGACCTCGTGATCCGCCCGTCTCGGCCTCCCAAAGTGCTGGGATTACAGGCTTGAGCCACCGCGCCCGGCCTGTTGTTCTTTCTAATTGTAGCCTTCTTGTGAGTATGTAGTGGTATCTCATTGCGACTTTAATTTACATTTCTCTGGTCACTAATGATGTGGAGCGTTTCTTCATTTGCCTATTGGCCATTCATTTATTTTTGTCTTTGAAGTATTTGTTCAAATGTTTTGCTCATTTAAAAAATTATGTCTTTTTATTGAGTTAGAGGTTTTTATATATTCTGAATACAAGTCAGATATATGTGTTATAAACATTTTCTCCCAGTCTGAGCTTTAGCGATCTATTTTCTTTTATTTTCTTTCTTTTTTTTTTTTTTTTGAGACGGAGTCTCTCTCTGTTGCCCAGGCTGAAGTGCGGTGGCGTGATCTCGGCTCACTGCAAGCTCCACTTCCTGGGTTCACGCCATTCTCCTGCCTCAGCCTCCTGAGTAGCTGGGACTACAGGCACCCGCTCCCACGCCTGGCTAATTTTTTTGTGTTTTTTAGTAGAGACAGGGTTTCACTGTGTTAGCCAGGATGGTCTCGATCTCCTGACATCATGATCCACCTGCCTTGGTCTCCCAAAGTGCTAGAATTACAGGTGTGAGCCACCTCGCCTGGCCTAGATCTGTTTTCTTAATGATGTCTTCTAATGCTTAGAAGTCTTTAATTTTGATACTACCTATTGGGTTTTGTGACGTTTTTTGTTTTTGTTTGCTTGAGACAGAGTCTTACTCTGTTGCCCAGGCTGGAGTGCAGTGGCATGATCTTGGCTCACTGCAACCTCTGCCTCCCAGGTTCAAGCAATTCTCGTGCTTCAGCCTCCCAAGTAACTGGGATTAACAGTTGTGTGCTACTACGTGCAGCTAATTTTTTTATTTTTATTAGAGACAGAGTTTTTCAATGTTGCCTAGGCTAGTCTTGAACTCCTGGCCTCAAGTGATCTTCCCACCTTGGCCTCCCAAAGTGCTGGGATTACAGGCGTGAGCCACTGTACCTGGCCTGGGTTTTTAATTTTAAGTTAGTATTTTGTATTTCTAGATATCTTGGATCTTTTCCAAATCTGAGAAGATTGTATTTTACATTTTCCTCTTCCCTAGAGACTTTTTTTTCTTTTTCCCTGAGACAGTCTTGCTCTGTTGCCCAGAGCTGGAGTTCAATGGCGTGATCTCAGCTCACTGCAACCTCCACCTCCCAGGTTCAAGCAATTCTCCTGCCTCAGCTTCCCAAGTAGTTGGGATTATAGACGTGCACCACCACACCCAGCTAATTTTTGTATTTTTAGTAGGGACAAGATTTCACCATGTTGGCAAGGCTGGTCTTGAACTCCTGACTCGTGATCTGCCTGCCTCAGCCTCCCAAAGTGCTGGGATTACAGGCATGAGCCACTGAGCCCAGCCCCCGGAGATATTTTTAATATTTTATTTCTCTAAACATAGCAGCATTGTCTTAAAATCTGTATCTGATAATATCAGGATCTGAAGTTTTTATGAATCTGTTTCTACCAGTACTTCCTAATGAGTCCTTGTTTCCATGGGTATATGTTTTTAATTTTTTTACTATAATCTTGTTTTTATTAGAAAACTATTTATGGAGATTATTTAATCTTTGGATTGAAGGTACCATCCTCCAAAGAGGATTTGTGTTTTCTTCTGTTAAGTGTCTTGGGGGCACAACTAGTCTGGGATTTTAAAAAGTTAGACTTAAAAAGAAGCTACAAAAATAATATGGATTCTCAATACCCTTCATCCAGCTCCCCCTAATGTTAACATATTTTGTAATCATAGTGCAGTTATCAAAACCAGGAAATTAATATTGAGACACTACTATTAACTAATCTACATACCTATTGGAATTTTGTCAGTTTTCCCACAAATGTTCTTTTTCTGCTCCAGAATCCAGTTCAGGCTTCCATGTTGCACTTAGTTGTCATGTTTCTTTTTTCTCCTCCAATCTCTGCCAGTTTCTCAGTCTTTGTTGTTGTTGGGTTTTGTTTTGTTTTGTTGTTGTTGCTGTTGTTGTTGAGACAGAGTCTCACTGTGTTGCCCAGGTTGGAGTGCAGTGGCACGATCTCGGCTTACTGCAACCTCTACCTCCCGGGTTCATGCGATTCTCCTGCCTCAGCCTCCCAAGTAGCTGGGACTACAGTCGCCTGCCACCACACCCAGCTAATTTTTTTTGTATTTTTAGTAGAGACGGAGTTTCACTATGTTGGCCAGGCTGGTCTTGAACTCCTGAGCTTGTGATCTGCCCACCTTGGCCTCCCAAAGTGCTGGGATTACAAGCATACCTTGTTTTTCTTTCCCCTCCCCTCCCCTCCGTTTCTCTTCTCTCTCTCTTTCTTGCTTTTTCTCGCTTTCTTTCCTTCTTTCTTTCTCTTTTTTCTTTTGCTTTCTTTCTCTTTCTTTTTCTTTCTCTTTCGTTTTAATTGATGAGCGTTCATTCTGAATAGTCTTTGTTTCTCTTGAAATTGATACTTTTGAAGACTACTGATCAATTATTTGGTACAAAGTCATTCATTTGGGTTTGTCTAATGTTTTGTCATAATTAGATTGAGGTTATTCAATCAATTCAATTAGATTGAGGTTATTCTTGCCGAGAATAGCACAAGAGTACAGTTGGGCCCTTCTCAGTACATCATGTGGAGGACCTGTGATGTTGACTGCTTGGTTAAGGTAGTGTTTGCCAGGCTCCCCACGATAAATGATTTTTCCCTTTGTAATTAATAATCAATCTTATGGAGAGATATTTTGAGGATATGAAAATATCCTGTTTCTCATGAAACTTTTGCCCACAAATTTTAGCATTCATTCTCTAGTCTTGCCTGCAGCAATTACTGTGATGCTTGCCTAATGATTTTCTTTTTTCTTTTTTTTTGAGACAGAGTCTCGCTCTGTTACCCAGGCTGGAGTGCAGGGCACAGTCTCGGCTCACTGCAACCTCCACCTCCTAGGTTCAAGCGATTCTCCTGCCTCAGCCTCCCGAGTAGCTGGGATTACATGCATGCACCACCACGCCCAGCTAATTTTGTATTTTTAGTGGAGACAGGGTTTCTCCATATTGGTCAGACTGGTCTCGAACTCCTGACCTCAGGTGATCCACCCGCCTCGGCCTCCCAAAGGGCTGGGATTAGAGCGTGAGCTACTGCGTCTTCTATTTTCATCATTTCTTCTTTATTCTGTAAGGGAGAAGAGCCCTTCCCCCCCGTTTGCTGATTGAATTGTTTATCAGTGTAGACTCATGAATATTTATCCTATGT